TCTCTCTCTCTCTCTCTCTCTCTCTCTCTCTCTCTCTCTCTCTCTCTCTCCCATTCTCATATCGCGCTCGTATCGCGTTGAACGATTGGTTAAAATTGCATAGATAAAAAAATGTTCTTGTTAGAAAATGGAAAATATAAACGATTAATAATAAGAAGAAAATCGTTCAATGCGATAATGATGTTAAACGGAAAATAAGATCGAAATAATTGTCTTAGATTTCGATTCATATTTTTCCGTCTTTTTTTTTTTTCTTTTTGTTTTGTATCCTGGAAAACGCGCGAAATGTTCGAATTCGTAGATAATGACAAATGCGCGCTTTCCAGTTTTTTTTTTTTTTTTTTTTAATTCCTGAAAATAAAATGACACTTGAAATGGCAAATTTGAAGGCGATACGCGTACACGAGTGTATATGTACGCGTATATAAATATATGTATACTATTATATTATATATAATATCATCATCTCTTCTTCCTTATTTTATTAGGACTTTGTCCTATTATAATAGCTTTTTTCTTTATTGCTATTTCTAGGAGCGATATATTGTATATGTATATATATATATATATACATTTAGATATATATGTATTATATAATGTAGATATAAAATTTTCTGTATGTATGTATTGTATAAGTATAAGAAAGTTCATGCACACCTCAATCTTTCTGCCCTCAACCACGGTGCCGTGTAGCCTCTCACGTGCCCGGTCCGCGTCAGCACTATTTGCGAATGTTACAAAACCGAATCCCTGCATGCAAGGACAGACAAAACAACATGCATTAAACTCAACTTACAGACTGCCAGCGCTTCGCAAGTAGCCGACTGGCTGGCTCGACATTTCGCACTTTAACGTATCCTCTAATCGTAAATGTCAACTAACAAATGACCCCCTCTCCCCCGCCCCCAACCCCCCTCCGGCTCCGCCCTCTTTGTCTGAAGCAATTATTTTCGATAAAAGCATAAGAACGATCAAACGCCCCACCCATTTTTTTTACACTTCTCGATTTATTTTCACGAAGATACTAAAAGATCGAAATGTCGAAATACCAGCGGAGATCTGCGAGCGCCTCATACTGCTTACGGAGACGCACCAAACAACGTGCAACAAATAAGTAAATGTAAAATCATGGTAAAAAATCATGGTCATGGTCACATTAATCATCTCATAGTCATATCATACCATATCATATAATCAAATCGTATCGTGTCATGTCATTGTGATAATCGTCAATATCGTTCTAATAACAGATTCTTCCTTGTATCGAGAGGGGGTGCGTGTACCAGAGAGAAAGAAATAATAAAAATAAGTTAGGCAAAGGTAGGTTGCCATTGGGATATTTAATTATTGGACGATGATCGAGACAGGACTTTACTTATCGGGAAAAGAATAGAGAGATTCGTTGGTGTATTTTTTTCATCGTGTCGAAAGTGCGCAATTCCTATATTAATATATCCATATATATATATATGTATACAAAATATCAATGTAATGAAAATAAAAGACAAGTTTGGAACCGGAATAAAGGAAAAAAATCGATCTCGACACGCTCACACCACAATCATTAATGGGGGTCGGTCGACTGAAGCAACAATAGATTTATCCTTGATTCTTCTAATTTCCTTATCTCGACCTCTTATCTCGAAGAATAAAAGAACAAGTATAAAGTAGAAAAAGGAAAGGACAAAAAATTAAGTCGATAAATTCCTCTTTTTTTAGATAATAGTTGAACGTTAGACGTAGAAAATAGGAAAGCTCTCTCTCGAACGTTTTCACTGCCCTCTACTCTGCCTATATACCTTCTTCTTACTACAGAAATAGAACGAGGTAGAATGAGGGAAAGCTCAAGATAATTGACTTTTCTCCTTTTAACTGTCAGTTTGTTAAGGGCGCGGTCTGATTCTCGCTTTTCGACTTTGACGAATCGAGACGTAGCTTTCTCTCCTACGAAAGAAGAAGAAGAAGAAGAAGAAGAGGAGGAGGAGGAAGAGGAGGAGGAGAATGATAGGCAAAACTTGAAAAGTTATTCTTGGCCGGTATTTCGCAAAACCGATGATAATCGATATTTTTCAGCACTGAAAAACGGTAGTGCATCGACGACATCACGACATCGCGCTTCGTAATTACATATTTTACATATTCCATGCATAATAAACGAGCTGGCTTTTTTTTCTCACATCCTATTCCGCACCTCTCTTATAACAATGTTGAGTAAACGAAAATACACTTTCCATTCCATTGGGGGGTTTTTTTTTCTTCTTTATGCGACGATCAACGTTCAAAGATATGAAAAATCAATATAGGGAGATATGTTTCGAAGACGAGTCGAAAGAGAATAAAGAAAGTGATTTTGTATATTGTTTAAATTTACATCGAAACATTGTATACATAGAACCTGGCTGGCATGCAGCATTGTTACCACCTTAATACCGGATCTTTTTTTTTCACGGTAATTTCCAGTCCGAACTGAAACTACCAAGATAAAGCTTCTCTTTTTTTTTTTTCTGCTTTTTCTCTCCAACTCTTTTCTTCCAAGCATTCGCATTTTCTACGACAAGAGGTAAAAGTTCTCGTGACGGGAGATCTAAACGCGATTCGAGAACCTCCTTTATAGGTCTTATCAGACTTTGGGAAATTGCGGCTTCTTGTGGTAGGTGGTACCGCGGCATATACTTGAGAAAATCCTGCAGAAAATCAATCTACGCCACTTTTTCGGTACACGACGTTCTCCAAACAATTAAAAACCAATCATTCACCGGTCGAAGAGAACGATCCAAATGAAAAGCTACTTATGTGCACAAATTTACAAAGAGAATAATCTTCGTTATTATTATTGGAGCCACGTGTGTATTGGAGATCGCCATCTTGCACGCCATTTTGCATACCATTTTGCACGCCATCTTGGGCTCCAGTGGCCGCGGCCGCGCACTTCGAAAACAACATTAACGTCCTATGAATTTCTTTTTATTATTCCTCCTCTTAATGTGCGTGCGACAAAATTTAATAAATATTTTCTTTGACCATTTTCTGCGACCATCTGATTCGTCCCGAGAATAACTTGCATACGAAAGCGTGGCCTCACCGTTAATGACCTAGCAATAAATAATTAGCGACATAAAAGTGTTGCGATGAAAAAGTTAGAGAAAATAGAATCTTCTAAAAGTCAAGAAAATATAATACAAATGTAGCCGCGTGAGTTTGATCGATCGTATCGCTTCATTTTCTCAGGGCCGATTCCACGCTAAAAAAAAAAGAAAAAAAGAAAAAAAAAAAAAAAACACAGAAACATAAAATTAAACTAACACCTTATCTTGCCTTTTCTTACTTTTTCTATAGAATACGTTACACGTCTAATAAATTAAATGATTTATTTTCATATTTAGAAATAATTTTGTAGTAATTATTCTTGTCGAACAGAGATATGATTTTGTTTAACGGAGAAAAGGGACTATCGTTGTTGGGTCGTCCACAGTCGTTCGACGAGACGATTAATTGCTACCCTAACCGTGATCGATTACCAGACGTTTTCTTCAGCAAAGTAGAAAAGGTCCGACTACAGATCAGGCACGGAAATTTTCTTTTTTTTTTTTTCTCAAGCCCCTGCCCCCATTTTATTGGACGTTATTATATACGTAAATAAATTGAAATATAATAATCGCTGCGATATATATTATATAAGTGATTATAATGCATAAAATATACTACCGCATATTAAATGAAATTAATTTCAATGTTACAACAACGATTTTTTTTCTATCGTCGTTGGACATACGGGCTCTCATTGCCTCACTACTAACGAATCCATTCCGTTTAAAAGAAGAAAGCGAATAGTTACACGCATGTGTAAATATGACTGCTCATGCAAGCTCGGGTGAAACGATAAATAAGTACGTACGATAGTAAGTAATTAAGTAAGTAAATAGGTAAGTAAGTAAGTAAGTAAGTAAGTAAGTAATAAAGTAAACGATAACTGTCGATCAAATAATAATAGTAATAATAATAATAATAATAATACTCGTAATATAAAAAGAAAATAAATATCAACACATCCGGCGTGCAGGTATTCCAAGTAATCGTGAAAGTTCATCCTTCTACGTAAGATCGAAGAAAAAAAGCGAAAATAGCAATAATAAAAGACGAAATTAAAAAAAGAAAAAGAAAATTCAAATAAAGTATAACATAATAATAATAATAGAATAAAAAGAAGAATAGTTACAAAGAGCGTAATAAATGTATAACCAGAGAGCGAAAAAATTGCACTTGCACATTGCGGCATATAACTGTTGCACCAATGCCCGAGAGAGGAGGAAAAAGGTCTCGGCAATTGTAACGCAATACAAAAAAAAGAAAAAAAAAAAAAAAGGTACCAACGTTAATAAACATTCCTTATCAACCGAGTGAAGGATTAGCGAGATAGCTATCGTATAGATTATGTCGCATATTTTAAATCGTAGATTAAAGAGCGCCCACCCCCCCCCCTGGTACCACGGAAAAAAAGGGCCAATCATTGTACATACATTTTATCCATTTTTCTTTCCTTCTTTTCTTTTCATTACTTTCTTCGTTCTTTTTACTTGATATTTTTATATTCTATAATATAAAACACAACCATAAACACTCACAATCGTCGATAAGACGCGTGGGTGATGCTAAACGATTGCGTATAAATATGTGCATATATCACAGACCGCGTATCGTGAGAAAAAAAGTGCCAAGGATGATGATGATGATTACTTTACAATTAGATAATCATTAATTAGTCTGGACATGGAATTATTATATTCACTGTTATTATTACTATTATTATAATTACGATTAATATTACTGTTATTGTGTCACAATTACTACACTACTACCAGCATCAAGGAAGCCAACGACCAGTGACTCGGAATCGCGAACGCTCCTTGTTATCGATTAATAATCCCGCTACTATCCAAATTTCCTATTATTTCTATTTTTTCTTTTTTTTTTTTCTATTACAGCCACTCTTTCTCTCCCTC